AAAAAAAAAAAAAAGTAACTCAGTAGTAGGGCGCTTGCCTACCGTGCGCGAAGCCCTGGGTCCAATCCTCAGGGCTGCAAAAACGGTGTGTGCTGGGGTAGGACCTGTAGACGGGATAAATGAAGGGAGGAGGCCACCCACTGGCCCAACACCGCACTCCCAGCAAAACGTCACCCTTGGAGGAGAGGCCTATTCCGAATCTGGGGAGGAACCGCTTCGGGGGACCGGAAGCTGTAACGCGGACAGTCTGTGGGACGGACCGACGTATCGACAGTTCCGGGCCCAGAAGCTGATCCCTGCGGCAAACAGAAACGAGGCGCCGGGGACTTCACGTAGGAGCTAAGTGAGTGTGGTTGCTCTGCTAAGGTCGTCGGGTGGCGTGTGATATTTGGCCTTAAGTGTCATGCCACAGGTCTCGCGGATTCAGTTCCACTCACCGGGAAACCTTTCCAAGAATCCCTTCACCCCGGTGTGACCCCCGTGTTCGGAAGCCGGTGGGTTGCTCTCCCCGAGCGCCGGCTCCTCCCCGCCCAGCCTCCTCGTCCCCTGGCTTTTTGCGCTCCAGTTTTAAGTCCCAAGCCGCCTCGCGGGCCACCTTCACCGACTTTTTCCTTAGAGAGAACTTCTAAGGCTTTCAACCTCAGCGTTTCCACCAACGCAACTACGTATTTCCAACATCCTTTTTTTTTTCTTTCTTTCTCCCAGATTCCTTGACAAGAATATCCTTGCAGCGAAACAACACTGAACTGGGAATTAGAAAGGCTAGGTTCTAGTCCCGAGCGCCATTAACTAGCGGTACGATGCTGGCGAATTCTTTCTGATCCTTTTGATCCTAAGTCTCCTTTTCTGTAAAATTAGGGGCTTGGGTATGTAACAACAAAGGTTCGTTCCAGTGTTGACTGGTACCTGTTGCCTCCAATGTGTCTTTTAAAAATTCCTGTCTCATTTATGTTTCTGTCCTTTGATTAATTTCCTGTAGGCCTCTTCCCCCTCTCCCATTAATCTGAGCCCTTGACAAATCTGGTTTCAGATTCATTTGAAAATAATTTCCTAGGGAATCCTATGCTCCCTGAGCATTTTTTACCTTGTAGATAAGGGACATGTACCTAAATAAGGTTTTTGACATATGCAGTTCTTTAAGTGTTTAATGAAGGCTTTTTTTTTTTTTTATAGTAGGTTAAATTCTTTTTTTTTGTACCGGGGATCGAACTCAGGTCCTTGCACTTGCACAGCAGGTAGCAAAACCACTGAGCTAAATCCCCGGCCCTAAATTCTTTTGTCTATATTTGATGAACTCTTTTAAGGTAAAGTGCTATGTTAAATATACATGCAAAAACCTCAGAATTATTTTTAAACAAGATAGTGACTTGTGAATATTTCTAACCTATAAGCAATGAATCGTCAAAGCATATAAACTATAAATGAAAAACACATGATATAGTTTAAAACAGCTGGTGATTAAGTACATACATCATCTTATTTTCTTTTTAGGGCCTTACAGTAGGAAGGACAAGCATTAAAACACTTTAATTTCTTTTTACAGAGATCAGCAAAATGAGGCCCATGGAAAAGAAGTGACATGCTCAGTCAATCAACATAGTAACACCTGATGGTGTATGCCACAGCGGGTGTTCCAAGGTTCTTTTGTTGTCGAGTCAGGTACTTTCTTCATGATGCTGTGCCTTTTCCAGTTATCATTTCTTTTCTTTTTTAAAGAAATCATTCAATATATTAACTATGTCAGGACCAAAAAATGCATTTTAAGAAGATTATTTGAAATATAACATCTAATTTTTAATTTAATGTCCAATTATGTAGCAGAGCTCACTTTCCCAGAACCTCAATTTCTTTGGTCTTATCTTGTAACTATGATTATTTCTGAATAATTTTAAAGAACATATGACAGAAAACATAAATATATAAATAATATATGTGATATATGTAAATACATTTGTATAACTGTAAAATATAAGCAGATTGTAAAAATGCCACAAAACAGTTACATTTTAAGACAAGGTAAAAGTTTAGAATTTTGTTTAAGGCAGCTTTATGTAATTAACCACATTGAAATATTTCATTATTTTTATTCCTTGTTTTATAATGTTGAGTAATGTTTAATGATATAAAGCAATCACAATATATTCTTTAATGGAACAAGTTATAAAACATAATATGGTTTCATTTTTGTGAGTAGAATAGATATTAGCACAGAGAAAAGGTTTGAAAAGATAACACAGTAAGTAGTTAAAAATGAGGTGCCCTATTGAGACGATACTCTTAAGTGAAATAAATAGGACACACATGTGTAAATACTGAATAGTTTCTCTAGTGTGAGAAACTGAAAGTGTAAATAAGGAGTAAAAG